ATACATACATACATACATACATACATACATACATACATACATACATATACCCGGTAGATAACACTGTCAATAGTCGGCACACATCAAAATAATAAAAAATGGGTAGAGGGCATTTACAAGTCCCCAGAATGATTTGTATGAAGCTTCATCTGGTTTCAGTCCAACTACACAAAGATATTTTTGTGCTCTAATTACACACTTTATCCACCAAATATCTGCAATTATCACTGGATAGCCCATTTCCAGCATAAACAACAGCCCGAAAACTTCTAATCATGCTCCAGAAAGGTTGCATGTGACAACCAAAATTTCTATGGCCTTAATGTATATTTTATGTTTTGAGTCCTAACCATGATAATTTTCTATCCAAGGTAAAGTTATTGTTTAAGCCTATTGTATAAGTGTATCTTAAGTGTTTTAATAAAATGTTCAAATTTTTTGACAGAACATATTTGCCCTTAATTTCACATAACAGAAAGACCTAACACTTAAAAACAAAAATATTGTGTAACATGCCTGAGCTGAAGAGACTCAATTCCGTTCTAACAATTTTTGGGTGTATTATGGGACTTAAATAATGTCCTGTGATTCAGAAATATGTTTTTATGCGCTGCATTTTATGCAGTTCAATTTTCTACATTCATATCACCTACTTATTTAGAATAATCTCTGGTTAGTTTTGTTTGCTATTTTTATTCTCTTTTATACTTTTTAATTGACTCAGAAGCTTAAGTTTTGATTTAAGTAAATACAAATAAGATGGTTTACTTTTTTTAAATTCAGTTAGGATACAGTAATTCAATTTAAAACAGAGAGAAGTTGGTGTTTTTACCCAGATATACTGACAACCGAGACTAAAGTAGAATGCTGTAATTAGATCAGTCACCAGGGCAGGCCGGGTTCACGTGTACCCTCCTTTCTGGAGAATTGATGCAACCAGTAACTAATCAGTCAAAGAAAAACAAAACCATTTTCTGTTCGTCATTGGTCCGTGTCCTTGAAATGTTCCTTCCCACAGGATTGTCTGACTCGCTGCACTGCGTGTTGTGATTGTGTGCGCTGTAACTACCACCGGGTACAGGCGGTTTTGACGGCTTGAAATGGATTTGAATAAAAAGGCTAAGGGGGAGAGGGAAAAATAAGGAGGTTTCTGTTAGATTCGGAGACAAAAAAGGGGCGGAGAATCAGGACCAAGGAGAGAGGGCAGCCTGAGCCTGTTTTGCATGCACGGGGGCTTCTGAGGGAGAAGGAGTTGACAGGGCGCCGCAGTGCTGCCTCCAGCTCTCAGACAACAGCTGCTCGGAATGAGGAGACGTCCTCCGGGTGCTGCGACATGTCTCGCTCTTTCTCCATCTCACTTTTCACCTGTCTGCCTCTTCCCTTCAGCAGACACATGCTTGACACATGCGCGACACACTGCCTCCGTTTCCCTCTCACAAACACATGCTTCTTGATGACACTCGAGCACACACACACACACACACACACACACAGGGTTTGTGAGGTTCATGAGAAATTGGCAGGCTGCCTGTGCTTGAATAAACACTCAAAGTAAGCCAGGTATGTCTGAATTTCGATGGGATTTGTGATTTGTTCTGCTTACTTGGAAAGTTGTTTTGAGGATTAATTATCAGCTGCATAATGGAAATGAAACACTCAGTCGTTTCCCACTGCTGGTGAGAAATATTCAAGTTGACAAGCTTTTGTCGGAGCAGCAAATAGCCATTTTATTTTATCTGCATTGTCACATTCAGTTACTTGAAAAGTTATTACTGGCTTTTTCCCCTTGCAGAGGAACACCATTTTTGCTTATTTGTCTTTAACAAATTTTGAATCTTCACAGATCTTTACACTAAAAAATCGTGCCCTCGTACATGCATGCACAGCACCTCACTTTCCAAATTATATTGGTGTGATGTTATTAATCTACATACGAGAGCAGAATCACTCTGATGATAACATCTGGGATGACTTTGCATGTCCTCCATTGATTGAATAATTTGATTTTTTTCTTCTCAGAAGAAAGATCGTTCTTGTGAGGAATTATTCATCCGTATTTCCTGTCTTTTTATATCTCCCTTTAAATCTTTAGAGAAATTACTCTAATTAATTTAAGTTGATTAATGCAAGCAAGTGCATGACAAATTCATAAATGACCCTCGTTTGTTCATGAAGCTTCACACTGAAGCTTAGTATAAATCTATGTAAAACAAGACTTGATATGAGGTGGGGATGTTAATTACTTTCATAGCTTCAGAGATGACCCATTTTGCAAATTCAAAAACATCTGAAAAGGATGAGTGAGGTGGTAAAGATTGATGAGGAATTATTCTTGTATCTCATGACATGAACAGAGGATACCGAAACAATCTTCTGTCTAAATCATTAATATGCAGGTGGAAACATCTGCATGTCAAAGGTCAAAGATAATACGTCTTATATCATCATCTGTTTTTCACTAGATAATTACTTCCATCATCATCTTGTTTGTCCTGGTAACACAATTGAATACATTATTTTTTTCTTTTTAGCTTAAGAAGTAATATCACAAGGACAGAAAAGAGGAGCTTTTTTTTTTTTTTTTGCTTTTTGCCCTTGCTCTGTCACTTCAGAAAAGGACTGGGGATTGCACAGGGCATACTCCAGTGTCCAGACAGAATGAAATCAATTTCAGAGTACAAGCCATTTTGAGACAGACGTGGATGAAACAGATTTACAGTGCACAAGAGTAGAAACCTATCAAAGTTTATCAGTGAGGTTTAAACACAGGTCAATGCATATATGATGAGAAAGACTTTCAGGAG